ACAGAATCCTTACTACTATTATTACATTGTAATTCACCTATATAAAGTAATAAGTAACACTTAATACCATAGCTCTTTTCTAGATACAGAGATGCATTGCTCAAGGAACCAATAAACAGCTTAGCATGTCCTTCTTCTAATTCTCTTTTACTTGGAATTTGTCAGATCTGAGGCTGGATCTTTTTGAACTTCTACATCAACTTACAATATATAGGTAAAAGAGAGTTAATATTAAATGACTATATCCAACAAAGGTCTTATTTCATCAACCTTAAAGTGATAGACAAGGTACTTTATCATGTTAAAACTAATAATGGGTATATCTGAAAGTGGAGACTCAATACAAGACTACTGACAAGTACATATCAGGGCTTATAAGTCAATTAAAATTCTGTCTAAATTTATATTTCAAATTACATATTTAAACTAAATTCATTGAAAATAAAGAGGCATAATTCTTTATTTAGTGCATTGTTGCTTTTTCCTCAATGTAAAAATCCATAATGTGATGTCTTTTAAAATAAATCTCTTGGATTTTATTAAGGTAGTAAAAATACCAATATATATGACAGTGGATTTTTGAAGGAAAAGTTTTTTTCCCTTATGAACTACTAAAAATTTGAGGCATACATATTTCCTGAAGAAGTTTGTGTAGAAAAGAAAAAAAGAAAACATAACTCTTGAAATATGTCTTATTTACACAGCTGCCACATCTTTTCACCAGATTCTGGTCTAATAGAAATGCTGCTATGCCTGAGTAAGTCTGGTTTTTAATTAAACATTCTATTTCTCAGAAAGTTAAAAAAAGGAAACTAATAGTAATATATTCAAATGAAGATATCAGTTTTATCTCTAAAATCTGTTATAGATGATGGATCACTTGCGTTAATCCTGCTCATAGAAACAGATCTTACAACACAATTAGACACAGACATACTATAGTAATAATGGTTTTCCCAAATCACACAGGACAGTTTAAAAAGTCATATTCAAGCATAGCAGTTCAGGCACTAATTCCAACTATTTGTTGAACTTTTATTGAACAAGCCCTTACTGAAAGATTTAACTCCAACATGAAGGATATTTCCATGTTTTAGGAGATGTACAATATATATTTTATGATCTTTTCCTTTCCTTGTATTAGGTATAGCTTTTTCAATATTAATAAAAAATTATAGGATATATTTTCCTTTTGCAATAGTACTAACAAAAATAACTACATTTCTTTTTTAACAATAAAACCTACAAGTTTTTAAAAATCCAATTAATTGCTATACAATGTAACATCAAAATATACTAAAATGATAAATTCACCACTAAGTTTAATATAGGATGTGATTTCAATGAATGTTAGAAAGATTCCTTTAGCATTAGTTAGGTTTTCCATAGCACATGATTTTCTGATGGCCATATGCCTCATTTACTACTTAAAGTAGATTTGAAAAATGATCAGTCTAAGGTCAAAATTTCCTATTGCTATGGCTTAGACCTCTCTCATAGGAGACATCATTTATCACCTTTCCATCCCAATTCACAAATGTATTTCCCAGGTACCTGAATATGGCCTCATTCAACTTAAGAAAAACCAAGCACAGGATATCTCTTTTTATTTGTATCACTATATATCTGCCTTCTGCCTCCCTTGCCTCATTTCTATGATTCTAATAGGATTTAAGCATATCTTACAGGAGATGTGAAGTACAGATTTGATTGTTTTAAAGCAACTATGAGAGGAAACACTTCCAAGCAATTATTCTGCCTGCTAATTTGGAGAAGTCAAATCAGAAGCACACACATTGTACACAGGTCTTGGGTAATTTACCCAATAATAGAGTAGATGTTTCTTTTTTTTTATTTTAAAAGATTATTTATTAAGCCTTAATTAAGATCAACAGATGAATTTGTTTCGTAAATAATCTCCTTTTTATAAACCTAAAGTCTTATGGTGGAAAGTCATATTATAGAAAGCAATATGTATAGCTCATAGTGTAAATTTTGATGTTCAGTGTTTTATGAAAATAGTATTTGACACACAAAAAGGTGAATTACATATACTCAGTTGAAGCTAAAATACTTTTGAGTTTAGAATGATATTTCTTTAAGTCAAAGGCTTTGCTAAGAAGAATAAACAAATAGCCTTCATTATGCAATAATTATTAATCTTTTCATATAATATATGTAGCAGAAAATTCTCCTTTGGTTCAGAAATAAATGGTCATACTTCCTGCTTGCTAAAAGTAGTATGATGAAAGCTGGAAATGATAAATTTTTTATAATATTGCTATATTTATTCTACACTAAAGTAATAAGTAAGTAGTAACAAACTCAGAGGAACTGTGATCTCTAATAGGTGACATCTTGCTTGCCAAATCTGTGATGAAACCAAGTACAAGCTCAGTGGCATAAGACTTATTAATCTTCTCTGCCTTGGCTATGAGAGGGCACACACTCTAAATATTTGTTGATTTTGAGAAAAGCTCCTCAATATAGTCATTTTTAGATAATTCCAATTCTACTAAAATGAATAAGAGCTTAGAAAATATATTTTCTTTGAAAGTTCAGTATTTATAAGTTATTTCCTAGGATCTTAAACTTCATTCAGAAATGATGGTCAAGGACCCAAAATAAGTACAAGACATAAGTAAAAAAGAGTTATCTAATAGGTTAGAAGTGGTTTTCTTTTTTTTTTTTTACATTATGAACACATGATTTTTTTTGGTTTTTTTTTTTTTTTTTTGGTTGTTCAAAACATTACAAAGCTCATGACATATCATCTTCCATACATTTGATTCAAGTGGGTTATGAATAAATAAAATCTAACCTTGTATCCTACTGCACAACCATTATCCTCTTCATTTTTATTAGCCAACTATGATTTTAATATAAGATTTTGGCATCATTTTTAATTAGACATACTATCTCTAATAATTTATGAATTACCTATATAAACATGTTTAAAATTGGTAAGCTGAATAATTTACTAATTAAAGATACCATCATCCTTTAATATGCAGTCTTTTTCTGCATACTGTTGAGATATAAAAATGCATGAGTATCATGTATACAAGAATGTGGATATGTTTGGCTTATATGTGCATGCATGTGTGCATTATAAAATAGCATAGCAAAAAAGAAAAAAAATAGTAAGTATATGTATTCTGATTCTTTAAGTGTAAAAAGATGAGGGAAGGCATCCATATCAGGAGCAATACAACTTGAAGTAACAGGCTTCAGATTTTCCTACATTTTTTTAAAATTTGAAAACAAAAAAAAATATGTAATACTATTCATAATGCAAACATTGAAACTAAAGCACAAAAAAAATCATGGTTATTGGTGAAATATAGAATGTAATACCTTGTATAACATTAAGTGGAGGAAAAAAAAATTTCTTTATCTGCAAAATACTGAAATTCCTTCTCAGTAATTGCTCTTTTGTTTTCTCAAGCCATGACTCTCCCCTCAGCTTGCTATCTACCCATCAATTCTCTAGTCACCACTGCTAGAGTATTTATAGCTCCAGACCATATTATTATTATTACTTTTTGCCTAATGACTCTGGACCATCAGGATTCTTCTCCAGCCACACAGATATCACCTAAAAGAAAGTAACCAGGGGTAGTAGCTTAACTCAGTATTTTTCACCCAGTCTGAGTTGTCACAGGAACAATTAAGACTAAGTTGTATTTGCAGTTAGAAAAAGTGTTTTTTCATCAAAGTGCAACAGTAAAGGGGCTACTTCATTGAAGAGATTACTTGAGCTTTTGTCATAGTCAGCATTTGTGTTACTGTGACAAAGAGACCTGACAAGAACAACATAGAGGAAGAAAAGTTCATTTGGAGCTCATTGTTTCAGAGGTCAGAGGGCTACATTGCTTTGGGTGGAAGGGTTTGGCAGAGGAAAACAGCTTAGAACATGGCACCAGGAAAGAGAGAGAGAGAGAGAGAGAGAGAGAGAGATCCTTTCACCACAGACAAAGCATATACCCCAAGCACATGCCCCAATGACCCACCTCTTCTAGCCATACGGAACCTGCCTACAGTTAATCCCTACCATTGAATTTGTTTAATTTAATTGTATGTTAAGTGTATGCATCATTCTAAGTGTGGCATAGCTATGTACAAACCACAACTAGAACCTGAATCTCCAGGTTCCTTACTACCATGATTTTTGTTTCCATGCCCCCATATAGATATCAACAACATCCATGGGTCCGTATGTCTAATTTGCAGAATATTCAGACATATATAACACGGCTCTGAACTTGCATATGTATGTTTTGACATATTTAAAAACCAGCTTATACCTGCTTTGAGCCCTATCAAACATTTTACTCTATGACAATCAAGCACTGAATTTATAAAGAAGATTGTTTTCTTTGTGATGTGAAATTGACTTGTCTTGAAATTAGCAAAGCCATAATCACAAAAATCCAAACTTCCTCAGAAAATTAAAAAAAAAAATTCTAAATTTCTCAAATTCTGTTTTAATACAAAAGAATCAGATCTGAGAGTTTTGAATTTACACCTTCATAATTATTAACAGGGTTATATGATCTACAAAATCTGAAAAACTGCAGGAAGCGCTCTTCTCTTCATGATAATATAGGGGAAAGTCAGGATGGAAATGAGGATGAAGTGTGGGATAGGTTCCAGGGAGGCAAAATAAGAGCTAAAGGGAAGGAAGATACATTTGAAGCTTTCTATTTGCCTCCTGATATCAAAACATGTAAAGCATAGATTGAGGTTCAATGAATATCCAAAACAGAGAAGTTTACCCTTTATTATAATAACTGAGCTGTAACAATTGAAAGATACTAAAAGAGCTCTCTGGTTTAATTGTGACATTGGAAGAGTATGCTGCTGCTCAGAAAGAATATGCAAAATGGTTGCCTATTGTGTAAAAACTCATTATTCTGAAAACTTGGTAAATAAAGGGAATGATTGAAACATTTGTTCTGTTTTTCCTACACAAACTACATTAATGAGAAAGGAATAGGTCAGGAAATTTTTCTTTTATTTAAACTTAAAAATGAATGATGAAATTACAATAGCATCACTGTATAACTCTTAATGGATCTAGACATAGAACAACAAAGCCTAGTAACATCAAAAAGAGAAACAGCTGGACATCACATACTTACAGAGGATAAAACAAAATGTTGCCCTTGGAGTCATGTTCCTGAAAGAATGGACTCCAAGATTAACCAAGATTTAACTCTGTATGGACAGAGGCTCATATAAACTATATGATAGCACATGCAACCAGTTAGATCTAAATTATGGGAGATAGAACAAACCACCTAATTTACCTTATAGGAAGAGGCAGAAAGAGCACAAACTTAAGAACCAATTATAACTATATGGAACTTATTCCAGCTCTTATGCAAATTTTAAAATATATATTTATTCTGGTCATGATAGATCATTGGTAACAGAGCATCACTCTCCCCATAAACATATAATACTGGAAAAACATATTTCAGCCACTGTTTTTCACACAAGGGACAACAGGCAGCACAAAACAATGAGAGAAAGGAAACTCATGACTTAATCTTAAGAACACCCTAAAGTTTACTACTCTGTTTTTGAACAATCACTCAGTGTCTTAGTCCACTTGTGCTGCTATAATGAAATGTCATATATTTGGTCAGTTATGAATAATAGAAATTTCTCACAGTTCTGGGGATGGTAATCCAAGAGCAAGACACTGGTAGGTTTGGTTGTCTAGAGGGTACTCTGCTTCCAAGATATCTTGAATGTTGCAACCTCTAGAGGAAACCCTAATCTCACAGTACAGAAGGTGGAAGGGGAGGTCACAAAAACATTCAAACCACAGCATTCAAAGTCCATAAAAGATCAGTCGACAGTGCCTGAGCAGTGTACACTGCTCTCTCCGTGCACAGAGGCAGTGATCTGGTATTAAGTCAATTGAAGTGACTGGCATCTGTGAGATGCAATCATAGAGAAGAAGAAGCTAAAGGTGATGGGAATTGAGAACCACATGGGAGTTTGTGGCAGAACACAGGTTGTACATATCATGAAGCCCTTCCAAGGTTTATCAAGTAGTGATTACTACAGGGCTGTGCATGGATCAAAGGGATTACGAAGATACTAGAGGTTTTTCAAGATAGGAAAAAATTCATTTAAATCATTGCCAGGAATATTTAAATTCTGATCTTTCCAGAATAGAAAGATCTTCTTAATATTTTAGTACAAACTCTGGCATCTAACTAAAATAATCTTCAAAGCTTTTGGAGTAAAGGTAATGCCCTAGAATCAGACCTATTCTCAACTCTTTAAAACAAAGCATGAAATCAAGCCTAACAAGATTATTGCAGGAAATAGAATTTGTATACTGAGTTAAAAGGGCTTAAAAATGCTTTAGGCATTCCAGTAGTTTCACTTAATACAGTGTAGGACTGAGCCAAGACAAGTTCATGGTTACTAATCAATAATTGAAAAGTTCAAGGCTATCAGCCAGTAGTAAATCAAGTTTCAAATTCTTCAAAGAAGAATAAAAAGTCTCTTAACCTGAACACCCGTGACACTAACAAGACAAGTAATCTATCTCTTTACACAATGGTGGGATGGGCAGAGGGTGAAAATTACAACATTTCTGAAATGTGGCCTGGTTCTATGATTTGGGCTCATAGATCACAGCTCTGTATTCTGGTCTCATAGTTCTGCTCTCCCCATCATTCTTTCCTTTTCATGAAAAGTAGCAAACACTGACATCTCAGTAGTTTTCTTAGTTCTTGATGACAGATACAAGGTTGCAAAAGACTCTTCCTTCATTTTGTACTCATTTTGTAAGTCCAATACAGCAGTACTTTCAATATAACTCTCTTGAAATATTTTCATTATCTTTTGAGTCATTTTAGGTTTTACTTCATTAGATAAAATAAAATATAACCACATATCTATTCAAAGTAAGCCCTTCTCACCTGTGGTCTTAGTGAATCAGCCCAGATACTTAAGTTTCCAAGAAGCACTCTTCTTTGATTGAGAAAATCTGGGAGGTATACTCTTAATTTCTTTAGAAGGGTTTTCGTCTTTCTGAAACATATTCTGAGCTACTACCTTTGATCTTTTTGAAGGCTTAATAAAATATATTATAGACATAATCTTAGTTGCATCCTTGGAGTACAGTTTTCTTTCAGTGCCTAAATTTGATCTTTGCTTCAGAATCATTTCTTAATTTAAACATCGTATGTATTCTGAAAAGGCTAAGAAAATTCAAAATTAGCCATGTCTGGCATCTTAGTATTTAAACTCTGCTGCTGTGTCTTTCATCATAGTTGATCTCTGTTCTCTTGAATTACTCAAAGCTGCAAGATGAAATCAGGTCATACCTCTCAACTAAAAAACTTTGAGTCTAGATCACCTAGTTCATTAATTATATTTTCTGCTTTCCATGTAATTGCTGGTGTATGTTGCTAAACTTTATGTGACAGCATGATGAAGGTCTTTTATTCTTCAATTTCTGATAACATTTTCTTTAAACAATCTTCAAAGTCCAAATCTCTACAAATGGAATTTTGAAGGATTCTAAGCTTTCAATAAACTTTCTTCAAATTCCACTGTAGTTTCAAAGTCATTCACATATTTCAAAGTCATTCACATGTTTAACTTATAGTTATGAAGCCAGAATTAGACAGGCAGTCAGTATAGATAGGTAAATCGAGTCAGGTCAGATCAAGAAGGCCAATTTTGAGTGAAGTTTGGGAAATTGGAGACTGTCCCCTGTGGGATTAAAATGCTAATTCCTTCAGAGCCCTTCTTCCACCCTTATTGAGAACCTTCCCCTGCTTCTACCTGTTGCCAAGGTAACCTGTCCCAGGAATTGCCCTTCCCTAACAGGAGCTATAAAGTTGTTAATGTGTCTTTGGCTACTCCATCCTGCCCTTCTCCCTTCAGCCCACCTGTTTCCCACCTTTGGGCCATCCCACCAAGCATTCCTGAGCCTAGTCATGTACACAGGAAGGAGAAAGATAACAGAAGAGGGCAGGAGAACAAAGGAAGCCTATAACATATAAAAAGGGCACAATACCTTGCTTCTTGGGAATACCAGGGTACCAGCAATGGCCCCCTTCTCCCACCTGGGAGAAGTCTATGTTACCCCTTTTTAAGTAAACCCTGATTTATATGCTTGCCTCGGCTGCCTTCTCTATAATGTTGAATCTACAACATGTTGGGAAGCAGGACTCATCATTGATAACTGGCAGTATCAGTTATGGCAACACCCATCTTCAGGTACAAAAATTGATATTTGTTATCTATTTATGCATTAAAATCTATTCCAAAATTTTGCAGTACAAAACAATAAACAGTAACTTAACTTTTTCAACTTAAATTTCTGAGAGTGGTTGAGCAGGGGCTGTCTATTTTGGCCCTTTTATGAAGTTGCATATGTTGATTCAAACAGCATTATTTGCATGTGTATTAGTGCATCTGCTTCTGAGCTCCTTAATGTGGCTTTTGGCAAGAGGTTTCATTTTCTCAGCATGTGGGCCTCTCCATAGTCTAATGATGATATGAATTCTTTCACAGGAAGATATTATATTACAGAGAATAAAGCCTACACATGGAAAGCTACAATGCTTTATAACCTCATCATGGTAGTGGCATGTGTTCAATTCTACTATATTTATTCATTGGATGTGAATCATTAAGTTCAGTCCACACTCAGGAGAAATTAAGCTCCACCTCTGTAAGTGAAGAATGCCAAAAAAAAAATATGGTAGTATACTAAAACCATGACTACAAAGGGTCCCTCTATATACCATAGGAATAAATATTTAGGGTCACTCTACCATAGAAGGCATCCTGATCATTTGGAGGTTAATTCTTGAGGGAGAAGGGAGTGTGGAGTGAAGGAAAAAAAAGTATATAAATAGCAAATATTATTCCAGGAACAAGTTTCACAAATGGAGCCTGCAGTTGTTAGGAGTATTTATTCCTAATTCTTTACATAATAACTGATACTTTTAGTCTTTCTTCCCTCTCTTATCACACAACACAAGTTACATTGATAATGGTTGAACATACACCTCAGTATGTGAGTTACAGGGGTTACAGAGAGGGGAATAATTGATTTAGAGGAGAAAACATCACTCTAAGATAAACAATGGTACATGGACCCTGTTTTTTCCTTTGGAAAGAAGGATGGCATATTTTTGGTTGTATCAAGTAATAGTTACTTCACGTGAAATGGAAGTTTGTTTTATTGCATTTGCCTTGTCTTTGGAGGTTAAACATGACTAAAGGAATTGTGTATGGATTCTGTGTGGACAAGCAGCAGATAGTGAAAATTTTATATCAGTCCTAAGCTAAGTTGGAACTAAATGTTACTGTGTTTCCTGGCAATCTCTAGATTAGGTTAGTCCTAAGTAAAACTGCAGAAGATCTGGAAGGCATAAATTATGTGGCAGACATCATGCTGTTTAGTAAAATAATTGTCACTGATCTGTTGGCTCAACTTTTTACTGCAGGGATTGAAAGTAAGTTTTACTGAAACTCCGTTGGCCCCCACTAGATTTATTTTCTCCAAGTTAAGGATCAGACTTATTTGGAGTTCTGTGTAAAACAGCACTGGCTTCTTCTCTAGTTCACCTGTGTCATCAGGGTTGAAGGCACTGATACACTACCCAGGTCCTAATTGGCCCCACTCTCTCCTCTTCCACCAACACTTTTGTTATTACATGGTGCTGCTCATTTATGGCAACTATTGACTCACCACCTGATACACCAGTAGCATATTTTCATAGATTTCTTCACCAGCTCCCACAGGTGTGTAAAGTCAAACCTTATAATAATTCCCTGGGCTGGAGTGTGTGATGACTTAGTGGTGGTGCACTTACCTAGCATGCACAAAACCATGGATTAAATCAGCATTGAGAAGAAGAACAGGCAGGGATGGGGAGTGGAAGGGAAAGTGGAAGAAGAGGAGAAGTTTTTTCCAAGATCAGTCATTTGAAAAAATAAATAAATAACTGAAATGAGTGGGTGTATATTGTATATTTGATCTAATTGTTCATGATTAAAAGAAACTTTACTATATTCTCATTTTCAAAATGAAATCTAACTGATAAGCCAAAATATATTCTCTCTCAGCAATATCTTTCACATGTGTATATTCAGACTCACCCAAATCGCCCTTGTGCCTTCTACTGGGACATTATTTTGTTAAAGCATATTGCTAATATAAATGCTTTCCCCTCTGCCTGATGCCACCTTTGACTCTCCTTTATATGACTAATATCTTCTAAGACTAAGAATAAAAATCATGAAGGCTTATTACCTGAGTTCTATCATCTTTCTTTTCCATTCTGTAACATAGCTTCATACAAGTATTTATTGTTTGCATTTTATTGTCTGACTTCTCAGTTATGGTTTCAAAATGAATGGATAAATGAAGTGATTTATATGGCATTAACTGCAGGGATAAAATATTAATTAACAATATGTCCTTGGAAACTTAAAAAACCATAACTCAATCAGACAAAATGTGTTAGCTCGCTGCCTCCCTAAGCAGCTCTTTAAACAGTCGCCAGGCAGTGAATGGATTCTCTATGTTGCTTAGCACATTCCAGGCAGTCGGTGCATGTAAAAAACAGAAAACAATTTTAACTGCAACAACAAGAGTAAACAGCTAGACAATAAACTTTTTCTATAACACTGAAAATGAAACTAAAAAAAGTAAAATATTGTGCAGGACATGAAATGTAACAATTTTCTTTATTACTTCAAAATGTTCTGGGAAGGCTGCTAATATTTTTGGTTTTGGTAAAATTGGAAGGTGGAGAAAAACATTATAGTATAGGAGAAACTAAGAAATGTGCTTTATGGCAAATACTTAATAATGATGATGTACAATTCTCTTTCTAATTCCAGATATTTTTTGATTCATAGTTTGCAGCTGAGAATGAGTCTAAGACTAAACACATGATATGGAGTCTTTTCTCATGTAGCTACACACTCAAGAAGGTATAACTATAACTCAATATGTACCTTTGGTACATTATAGTGCTTTATTTTCTTAGACATATATCATTATGATCACCAAAACAAAACCAAATGCAGCCTAATAAGGTAGTTACTTACATAAGAGATAGAGTATACATACCTAATTTTCTATACCTATAATTTAACACAAATATCATGAATATATTATCTAGAATATATCTTGCTATAATACACTTACACTTAAAAACATAAGAATTGCATGTAATATAGAAAATGGAATAAATAAGAGTTGTATTTATTTTACTTAGACATATGTCTATAATATACTTTCAGTTTTGTACTATTTTGATAATTTAGTTTAAAAGCACGTCTTCACATCCATCGCTGTGGCAACTGTTACCCTCTCCTTGTCCTTGAATCTCCTTCATTTCATTCCTCCTCCTCTTCATCTGCATCATTTCTCTCTTTCCTTTTATTATGTAGGAGTTGGATCAAGGAATTTAAGAAGATAAAGTCTTATTAACTGAAAATTCCAAACAAAGCAGATTGAGTTGAGGATTTTGCCATCCAAGTGGTAATTCAGATGACTGGAAGGAAAGAAGAGGCTGGTAAATAGTATGCCCCTCACAACTTAGGTGTGTCATGACCAGAAAGTAGGATTATAACACAAAATAAATTATTATTAAAGAAATCCCAAACCTAGTATCTTAAAATAGAAGATGAAACAATGCAAATTTTCATCAAGATTTAATAATATACAATAACAAATTAATAAGTTCCACTTAGTGAAACTATTGTATTTGTGACCAGATCTTCTTTATTTGTTTAAAAAAATAATTTTCCAACTTCCTATGCTTTCCTAGATTCAGAAAAATCAAATATAAAAAGCAAACTTTTTACAAGAAGGCACTCAAGCTCTTTTTTAGGAATTAGCACATTTGTGTTTTAGAACAGAGGGAAAATAGCTATAAATGTACCCACAGCATTTCAGGATTTATGTCTCTGTTCTAAAGACAATTTCAAGTGTGTGGTTATTTCCCACCTGGAAAGTAAAACTTTAAAGAATGTTTGATTAGACTGACACAATTCTGAGATAAATATGGAAATAAGGAATCCAAGTTTTATAGTGTTTTCTTTAAGAGGAAATGGCTATTCTATGTTAACTCAGAAAGTAGAAATGTTCTTTATAACATATGCTTTTGGAAATATAGCCCTTTGGTAGTCAGGATATAATCTATCAATCCACAAGTAAATGGTATTTGTCATATCACATTTTATTTTGTTTTTCTGGTTGTAAGCTGAAGTACAATAAAAGATGATTTAATTATTTTGATTCTTTAACTATTTTCGGTATGAGTTTACATTATGTGTAGTGAAAAAGTCAAGTAAACCAAATAGAGATCTGCCCTTTACCCTCAGCTCCTGGGAAGCTGTTTCTAAACCCTTTGGATGTCATTCTGCATTAACGTTTCCCCTTTATTTACCTGGGCACTTCATACACTAGTCTACTGAGTGTAAAAGTGATTTATGATGAAGGATTTTGTATACAACATGCAGTTTCAACCTCCTAAAAGCCTGGAGTTATTGGTCTAAACCTCCAGACAGGGCTGAGACTGAAAGTCAGCCATATTATGTGCTCAAGAGACAATAAAAACTCTAGATATCAAAGGCTCCAGGGAGCTTCCTTGTTTGGTAATACCATGGGTGTATTGTCACACACAGTGATCTGGAAGAGCTATTCGTGATTTCAAGGATAGAAGATGACTCAAAACTTCACATTTAGACTTTCCACACTCTATCCTACTGGTCCTTTACTTAACCAATTTCAATTTGTATTTTTTCACCTAAATAAAAATCTATAATAGTAATAATAGCACTTTCATGAGTTTTGTCAGTCATTCCAACGTACTATTGAACTTGAGGGGTGTTGGGAACTGGGAATTAATTGTGGGCATGTCTAAGCCATCTCTAAGTGGAGTTGTGCCTCTCAGAGAACTGTCAATGTCATCTCACAGATCTGAGACCACTTCGTTGCCTGCTGACGTCCTGCTGAAAGAGAATTTTGTGACACCTGTGAAATTTATTGGTTCAGCCAAGGCAAGGTTCAAATGCAACTCTCTGGAGGTAAAAAGGGATGCCAATACACTCAACTAGCCTTGAGGCACCAGTTGCCTGGAGGAGGAAGAATTACAGCCCAAGTGATAAGCCTCCAATGAGGCCAACTTTCTGACAGCCTCTTCTTTCTTGTTTACCTTCAAGAACCTTTCCTTACAATAAATTCCTTTGCTGTGTTTCACTATAAATAAAACATTTGAGAGTCTTTTCCTATTATTAGAATAAGCCCCCATCAGATTTTTTTCCACTGGTCAAGTCCCTAATTAAATCATATTTCTGGGGTCCTTTGTTTTTATTTCTTAATACTACTTTTTCAGCTTTTTTATTTCCAGCTGGCTCATACCTCCATATGGAGTACTTATTCCCTCCCTGCTATATGGTGAGAGAGGGGGCCATATATATCCCCAACATGAGTTTAAATTGGGAATATTCTACAGACACTCGAACTTGTGATTCGCATCTGAATTAAATAATTTTACAGGGTCTGTTTTCTCTTTGCAGTTTTACTAACTCACATACATACCCACAGTATCATTTCCTTATCTGGACACCCAAACATTATTATTAAGGAAATTAAAGCTACCTGTTAGTTTTTACCTGACTTTTAAAATGTTTTACACTTAACAATTGTTCCAAATTATGGAACATTATAGTTTACTTTTCCATATTGAGGGCATTCTTTTTGTATTCATTTTTTAAATTTTTTTACTTTTTTTATTGTTGGTCGTTCAAAACATTACATAGTTCTTAATATATCATATTTCACAGTTTGATTCAAGTGGGTTATGAACTCCCAATTTTACCCCGTATACAAATTGCTGTATCACATCAGTTACCCTTCCATTGATTTACATCCTTGTATTCATTTTTGATGGTGTGTCTAGTTCCTTTCTGTTTCTAATAGACTGAAGTCTTTTCTTAAGGGGTCCAGGAATAGACCTAAATTCAATCACTTCTTCTCTTTTAATTTAATTATTTGCTTTGTTAAGAAGTTTATCAAGGAAGATCCTAAAAATATTCTATAAGAAATAAGCATTGAGTATTTCTAAATATAAAGTAATATTTTTGCCCTCATTTTATTTCTGGAATTTAACTAAATATCAAATTCTACATAGGAACTTATTTTTTCCAAGATCATTATAGTTCTTGCTTTATTGTTTTATCAGATATGAATTATCTTTTTTCCCAAAATTTCTAGTATTTGTTCATTTATTTGGGTGATATCATTGGCTTTTTCTTCAATCACTATTAGTGGCATTTCTTGTTCACTATTTGATCCCCAGCATATTGAAAAAGTGTGATGTAAATATACTCAATAAAAACCTATTGATCCTATTCTAAATAGGTTCTATGCAATTTGACATTTGACCTTAATTCACAAGATGTTTATTACAAAAATAATGCATATATTTTTATTAGGTAAATATAGACTTCTTATCGAAGAATTGCTAAAATAACTTCAATTTCTTCAATTTTGTTCATTTTTCAATATATCCTGATAACCATTTAAGGACATTCTCCCAGAATTACATTTTAGTTTGATCACTTTATTGAGTGAAGATCCCTGTTAGAGTGTTAATTGATTTAATTCCTAATTTTTAGATATTGTGTTTATTCTCATAAATATACAACACAATCTTATATAATCTTGCCTATGAAAATATAGTCATTTAAATAGATGCTACAAATGTAGCAGTCTCTGTATAAGTAATACATAAATTCTTGTATTTTAGAGTTAGACACAAAAAGGAAATTAAGTTGTCATAGTAAAAATGCCTGGGAAAAATAATCAGCACTAATAAAAATTAACATTGAATATTTTGAGTCCTAATTTCATGTTTTCAATAGCAAATGAAAATCTTTTGTTACTGGAAAGGGATTTCTTACTGTGTTAGTGAGTATGCATAAGAATAATATAGACTTTACATAATTACTTGTGATTAGAAATAATGTTTCCTTTAATCTGGGGCATTATTTAGTATATTTATTCAAAAAAGGATAAAAAATTATATTGACTTCTATCAATCAGGTGAAAGGGGTTTAAAAAGAAAAAAAAATTGAAGCATACAAACTGATTTCCTAATATTTTAACTAATGTATTGCTCAGTTACAATATATTAGAAAATTTATTTTATAATTGTAATAATAAACTGATACTATGTTTTGAAGATTTATAAAATTTTGTATCATCTAAATATTTTTCTGAAAGCCAAGATTAAATAAATAAATAAAACTGATCACAGTTATGCACTCCAATTACTAAAATGAACAGTTTTGTATGTATATATATAACTTATATATTATATGTTTGTGTATATATATATATACACACACAAACATATAATTATGTCTATACACATATCAAATGTCTATACACATTATATATTGTGAATTCTATACACGTCTATACACACACACATATATATATATATATAGTATGGATATGCATATACATAAAAATGTGGTTAAAATTATAAAGAAGGTAAGACAGCCAAAGCTTAGGGGAAACAAAATCCCAGAAAACAGAAAAATATTTAGAAAGAATGAGCATATTGACAGTGTATTCAGTAACTTCAGCTCTCAGGTTATTTGTCAATTCTGGGCAAAAAATAAAAAGTCAAGGAGTTAGAAACGAGCCTAGACCAAACTCTGTTGTTGAGGCAGGAAAATCTAGAGATATGGCATTCTCCCTGGACTAAACAGAGAAGAGTTAGAGGCAAGAGGTTATAATTTTAGAAAGAAAAAGGGCTGAGACCTGAGTTCAATAATTGGTGGATTTTTCCATCAAAGCATTTCCTTGATTCTGATGGTTCCCTGAGCTAGAGGTTAAGTGATCAAGTAGTAACCTTTAAAACAAAGAGTGGTCTCTATAATCTGTGATTCTAAGGAGAAAATCATTAGTGGGAGAGATTCAGATGGAATATGTAGGAAGATACTTCCTAAGAAGAGTAGCAAATCCAGAAAAAGGACACAGCTTTGCCTTTTTCAAAGACATTTCAAGTCCTAATTGAAAAATTTAAAAAGACTCTCCTCTATCTGCCTGAACAAGAAAACAATTGAATGTCTGTGAAGAAAAATACAATAGAAAACACTCCAAATTTTTATAATTTAATCCTCAGAAAGTATGAATTATTCAGAGACAAGGGAATGCAATTTATGAAAAAAACTCATATAAAATGACTAACCAATAAACTTGTCATTATACTCTTTAAGAAAACAATTTTAAATAAGTTTAATAAATTAAAAAATAGGCAAAATGCATGATCTTAATGTTCTATGTCAATAAATCTGATAGCAAAAAAGACACAGCAGAAAAAATATCAGTACCTTGAAAGAAGCTAAAAGACAGGCTCATACCAATTATTTATATAGAGCACATACAGAAACAAGAGTGGAGATTAGAGAAAAGAGCATTAGTGATATATACAATGGGAGTCACAGAAAAAAAGTAAAGGAATAAACAAAAGCAATATTTGATGAAATTTTGGCCAAGAATTTTCCAGAACCAAACACTGACACCAAATAAGAAATACAATAAATTATATATACTCAGCATAAGGTAAATTCAAAGTAATCTACATCAAATAAATGAAAATCAAAGACAAAGAAATATTTTAAATAGCAGCTGTAAAAAGTAGCACTTAAGCCAATCCCAAAGGGCCAAATTCCAAATGTTCTCTCTGATATGTGGATACTAACACACAATAAGGGGGATGGAATCGGAAGAATGGAAGTTCATTGGACAGGGAAATGAAGGGAAGGGAGGGAGGATGATAATAGGAAAAACAGTAGAAGGAATCAAACACCTTTCTTATGTTCATATATAAATACACAACCAGTGTAACTCCACATCATGTACAATGACAAGAATGTCAAGTTATTCTCCATGTATAGATAATATTGAAAATGCACTGTACTCTCATGTATATCTAAAAAGAACAAATAAAAGAGTTTCATGTTACTATTGTTAGAATAATATCACTGATGCATAATGATTAATAGAAGTGCTGGAAACCAGCCAACAACACAAAAACATTGACACAGAGAAAACAAAATGCTGAGAGTTTTATATCCTGCAAAAATATCATTCTAGATGAAGACAAAATAAAACTGATTGCAGGCAAGTAAACACTGAGCAACACATCACTAGTATATCTGCACTTAAAGAAATACTTATGGCATTTTTTTCAAGCATAAAGAGAATTGGTCTCAGTGGAAGCACAGATGAAGGAAAAGAAAAATGCCAGAAAACAAATATATGAGTAAATATATTGGACATCAGCCTACACAAAAATAATTACAAGGTAAACATTAAGCATATAGAGAATTAAAGTGCACAACACAAAAATCTGGGATGTTTTTAGCATTGTTGAGAAATGTTTAAGGCAATAATTTAGATTAATTAAAATCCATGACCCATGTTTAATTTACTACTGAAATAACTTAGTAAAATAATTTACATGAAATAAGCTGTTCATATAGTTAAAAAAAATAAAAAAGGACAATTGAAAAGAGGACAGCAAGAGGTATAAATAGCAAAACAAAGAGTAAGAGGGTAGAAATTTCCTGTTGATAAATAAATCTACATATTAAAAAATTAAAGGCATAAATTATGTTTTAATATTTTTATGTAGTAAATAGAACAAATCTAAATTCTCAAATAACAGAATGCCAGATTAGAATTTTATAAAGATTCTATATTTTCTTTTCCCAAGATACCACTTTATTATATATAAATACAAAGAGACTAAAATTTAAAGAATAGAAAAATATATAATTATGTGAAAACCTGGATCAAAACAAAACTAGCAATTCTATATTAGTATATGAAAAAAAATCAGACTTTAAGTACTGTAACGGGGGGGGGGGGTTGGAACACTGTGTAATGGAAAAATGATACATATTATTTAGTTAAATGTAACGTTTTAAAAGTTTTTAACACACTGTAATGGAATATTACATTACTCATATTACAGAAATTTATTGCTTACAATTCTGTAGGCTGGAAGTCCAAGATTAAGGTGCCAAACAATTCTTTCCTGGAGAGGCCTATCGTCCTGGCTTGCAAAGAGCTGCCTTTTCCCTTTGACTTTTTTTTTTTTTTTTTTTTTTTGTACAAACAGAAAGAAAGATTTCTTTGCCTCTTTGTCTCTCTCTGTGTCTCTCTGTAACTGTCTCTCTGTGTCGGTTTCCATTTTTATCTAAAGTCACCAATTCAATGAGATTTTTAAAACTCCATCCTAGGATCTCATTTAAATTTAATTGCATGATTAAAGTACTACCTCCAAATACTCTCAGATGGGCAGTGAGGCTACAATTTATAAATTTTGGGGAATCAAATTCAGCGCGCGCACACACACACACACACACACACACACACACAGTAAGATGGCTTCAGATATAATAAGCAAAAATTAAACATCTACAAGAAGAAATAGATAAAGTTACATTCATAATGGAGAGTTCATCTTCCTAAAAGATGATCAAAGAAGCAAACAAACATTAGAAAGAGAGAAAAAATGAAAATAAAAATTTAGAAAAGTGAAAACAAAAATACAATAAAAAATTGACAAAATCAAAACTTTGTGAGGCTAATAAAATGAACTATAAGAAGACTGATGAAAGAAAGAAAGATAAAAAGAAAGTAAATCAATTACAAATGAAGAGGCTTGTAATACAATTAAAAATTATATCAATGCATATCACCATACCCTTAACATCAAAACATGACAATAAAATAAAGACAAGAGAATTTAGAGGTAAATAATTCCATGACAAAAATGCAAAGATTATAAGAAAAAATTAGTAAGAATAAGGATACAGTGATGTATTAAAAACATAGTGCCTTGGGACCAAGCTGGGTTTGGTCCAATAATCAAAATTGTTGTAAATGCCACAAATCCTGTAATGTAGTTGATTAATTATCATTACATAAAGATATTAATAAACTCTTGTACCTCTTTAAGTAAAAAGCATCTCAGCAATGGAAAGGAATATCTTCATCTGACAGAGTTTTAGGTTAGATTGTTTTGAAAATAGCTCCCAATGATCTCTGCCTCCCATTATTTACATAGTGTGCAATGACTCCTCTTGTATGTAGGCTCAGCTAGGAATTTAGAATGAGAAGACGATGGGTTGCTACTTCCCCAAATCAATTTTATTTTAATCTCTCTCACACGTGTTCTCTCAATATGCCTTGTTTTGATAAAGCCAATGTGTTGTACTATAGAGAGGTCCATGTAGCAAAGAAATGAAAATGGCATCCAGCCAGTATTCACTAGCTTTAATTCAACAACCTGTTAGAAACTGACTTCTGCCAAGGAACGCTGAGTGAACTGGCAACAGGGTCTACCTACACAGAATGATACTGTGATGGCAGTCTTTTGAGGGACCTGAGACAAAGGAAGCAGCTAAGCCACAACTACATTCCTGAGACTTAAGTGATAAGAATATAAATATTTTGTAGTATTTTTGGCTATTGAGTTATGTGATAATTCTTAAAGCAACAGTAGACAATTACTTCAGATATCTACCAGAAATAAATACCTTGCAACTTCAGTATTAAAGATTAGCTTTTAAAAGTTTTATTCCTAAGATTAAGAGCAAAATAAAATATCAGTTATTATCAGTATTTTGGAGGCCATATTTAATGAAGATTCCAGACAGTGAAGCCAGTAAAGAAAAAACAAATGAATAAATATTGTTAAATTAAATAGAAAAAATGTCATTATTTGCATAAAATGTGATTAAATACTTGGAATGCAAAAGAATCTACATATAAAATATAGTAATTTATTCTACTAATATTCACTAGCTATAAGGTTGATTAATTGCATCTCTATAAACAACATCAAAATCTAGATAAATTAGAAATGCAACATTTACATTAATTTGAAATCATTAAAAATGTTCGAACAAATCTTGTAAGATATATTCATAATCTCTAAAGTGAAAACTGCAACATATTATTAATACAATTAAAAACTTATAGAAGTGATAGGATAGAATTTGTTCTTAGTTGTATCAATCTTTCAGAAATTGTAGTTCTTCTTAAATTCATCTTCAGACTCATGGAAATACTAGGCAAATTTCCAGGGAGAACTTTTAGACACTGAGAAGCTGATTAAAAAGCTTTATACATTTCAGTAAAGGACTCAATAACTAAGCTATTTTGAAAAAATATTACAAATGGAGAATTTGCACTATTAAATCACAAATTATATTTTAAATGAAATAATTAAACCATTGCAGTATTGAGGAAAGGGTAGATACATAGACCACTAGACTAGAAGAGAGTTCATGAAGTGACCACATGTATGCATCTCATTTAAAATACAGTGACACTGTAGTGCAAAGATGGCCCTTTCATCAAAATATTGAAATTGTTTTACTGCATATCCATATGGAAAAATGACTTGTCTCCCAACTCACACCATAAAGAGAAGTCAATTTCAGATGGAATATACACCTAATTATAAAAGTTAAACTATATTTTCTTCATATAAAACAAGAAAAAATATCTCCTAACATTGACATATACACATACAAATACTAGTCATAAAGGGATTTTTTGAAAAATTAAGTGGCATTAAAATCAAGTCATTCTTGGGGCTGGGATTGTGACTCAGCGGTAGAGAGCTCACCTCGCATAGGCGGGACCCAGGTTCCATCCTTAGCACCACAAAAAATAAAGGCATTGTGTTGTGTCTATCTCCACCTAAAAATTAAATACTTTCAAAAAAATCAAACCATTCATAACATTAAAAACCAATGTTAAGAAATTCAAATATAAAGGCAAGATAGGAAGAAGAATTTCACAATGTATACATCTGAAAAAGCACTCTAATACAGAACATAGAAATAACTTTTCAACCAAGGAGAATAATTGAACAACTTCAAAATACTATCCAAGTGAGAAAATAAAATACTAATGCATTGATGAATCTAATAAACATACATTGAGCAAAAGAAAACAAATTGAAAAACCACAAATTATAAAAGTCCACTCACATAAAATTCAAAAACAGGGAAAACTAGTCTATTATGATGGAAATTTCAGGATCCATGTGTTTGGTTTGTTGACTAGTATTTGAAGGTGGCAAAATGAGGTTCTACAATTGTAATATTCTGTTGGTTAGCTCCCCAACTGATTATATAATTGTGTTTCACATATAAAATTAAACAATGTATGCATTTATCAATTAAAATTTTTATAAGTAAATATCTATATTCTAAACAATATTGTACTTCTTTTCATCCTAAATGGTTTTCATCCAAGATTTGCCCTCAACACAGTTATTTGGTGAAGCTGAGCCCAAATCAGCCAAATTATTAGACATTTTGTTCAAAGTCTTTGTTTATTTATGAATATTATAGGGAAGATATTTTCACTTTGATGTATACAAGTTAGAAGTTTAATTTATACAGCTATTTCCCCAGGTCTTACAAGACATAAAAAGTAGGGATTGGCTATGGTCACAATAAAAAAGATAAAAATCCGTTAACTTTCTAAAGCTGCATTCCCCCCTGCTATTTAAATAGTTCCAGTCCTGTGCAACATTGTCTTCCCTAAATCCTTCAAGTTACATCCTACACTCCCCGGGTGTTCTTGTCATCTTACAAAAGCTCTGTCAGCTCACTTCTCTTCTATTATTTTCTTCCTTGTCTGTTGCTTTAGCAAGGTCTTATGAAATTTCATAAGATCACCTAGAGTGGTTACTTCAGCAGGAAGTCATTCTTAAGGGCTCTGTTCCCCATGGTGTGAAAGTCATCATGCTGTGACAAACCACCCAGACTGACTCTCTGTGATGTACTAGAGCCCATAAGGTATTAATGCTCATGGTATTTTCACAATTAGTGCTAGACTCTGTACCATGCCACAGAATTTTATCACTTGTGTTTAAGGGTGATAATAAATATATACACAGAAAAGATACTTCAATATTTATTTTCTAAAAAAATATCTCTAATGCCTATGACAACATGTATACTTATACATTTTTGCCAACATTCTGAATTATAAGAAAATAATTTTTGGAATGTTTAAATAAAGAGCTCTTGACATTTCAGAAGTACAATCCAACATGTGGATTTAATACATAAATAGTGATAAAAATTGGTTAGTGTTCATTTGCTCTGGTGCATTTTTGCTTTTCTATTTTGACTACTTTTATACTGCACTACACTTAAAAATTGTTAAAAAAAAGTTTTAAAAGGTAGCAAAGGGAAGAAATGTTTAACACTGATATTTTAAATCAAACTCTAAAAGCTAAGAATAATCTAAAATTTCATTTTAAACAATTGAAATAAGATGTATTCTAAGAATGACAATGACCATAAAAACTATACATCATTCCTGTATTAATGATCTTTTTAGTTATATTTGAAAGAGGAAGATGAAAATAATTATTATAATGTGATATTTACATACATGTAAAGAATAAAATAAATTGCAACAAAGTGATATTTAAATACATGTAAAGAATAAAATAAATTGCAACAATGGTTATTCTAATCATTAATTAAAATTATTTTCATAGAAAATGCTTGAAGGAAGGTAAATTGCTTAAGTGCACAAAAGTACACGTGACTGCAGAAGTTTGTCATACCTTAGTTCTGCTAAGGAAAAATTTCACTACACCAGCTAAAATAGATACTCTTCCAGAATGTCTCATTTGTTAGATTATTTTAAAATATGAAGACTGAACAACAAGACTCTGTGACAATGGTAAAACCTTATAAACTTTTTTCTAAAAATTTGGAATATTAAAAGATCAGTATAATTCAAAATCATCAAAAGAGACAAACAGTTCTAAGTTTGAAGCAAGATAAGTCATAGAAGAGTGGGTAGCTTGTAAGGCTACAAAATTGTTTGAAAAGATTCCTTGAAAATGAAAGTTTTGAGGTTATATCATTGGAATTACAAACTACCATGGTTTATTTTTTCAGGAAAGCAAGTCATTTCAGTAATTCACCAATGAATATCACTTTATAAGAGATTATGTGAGGACCACCATGTAGATCTGTGCCATTTGCAACTTATAGGAGGATGAGCTATCAAGAAATTAAGCAGATGCTGGGGTAGGTGAGCTCCCACAGGAAAATGGACATCCTTAGAACTGAAATGTATAGTCTAGGCATGGCAAAAGATATCACAAGTATTTTTGGTTGTATGTGTCTTTCTGGGCATTTGTGTATTTTGGAAGATTGGGGATATAGTAAAGAAGGTTGTTTTAAGACTCTATCAAAAATTTTAGCATCTACATTTACACCAGAAAAATGCCTTGATGTTTTTATTTCTGAGGAGTAGAAGACAAATACTTCATCTAATAATAGTCTACATAATTTTGTGTTTCGCTTGACCTCACATTCTCTCTTAAGCCAGCTGTGTCAATCAGAAAAGGTTGCAAACAGAATGGGTTTAGTTACTATGTTCCTTACTGCAAAACAAATTGCTAACTTAACATATCTTTCCTGTTTTCTAGATAAAATGATAAATTTTATTCAACCCTTCATTTTATATTAAATATCCACAACACATCATATTCTACAGGGATAGAAAAAATTTAGGCAGGATAACTGCATCTCTGCCTTTAGGTCTTGGAAAGGTCCCTAAAAGACTCCCACAACTTAAGGCTTTAGAGAGACCTCGCTGTTCTTCTGTCTATAGTGAGTATTGATATACATTCAATGACGACACCACCACGGTTGCTGAGAGTCAATAAAGTCTACAGATTTCCTGGTAATGTAAATCTTTGGTGTGTTGGTAGTTCCCTGTCTGTATAGTGATTCTTTGCTATTTCATCTAGAGTTTTCCAAGCAGTAGACACAGGTAAAGCTGGAAGAAAGGAGCTCCCCTACCCTCATGAGACCTGAGAATGCTCCTCTTCCCCCACAAACTTGGACAACTCTTTTTGATGATACAAGTATTCATCCTGGTTCTTTGCTTGTCTAAGAAAAATCTGAATAATTCTTCCAATGAGAAGTTGGAGAAATAAATGTTAATAAGGAACAATACTCAAGGAATATTCTATTTAAAGGAAATACGTAAAATGTTTTTCCAAAGTAAAACTGTAACATACTTGGCTATAATTTTGTAATAAGGTAGGAACAAAATAAAACAAGCAAACAAAATTCAAAAACATAAAACTTTAACAAATCTCATTCTCTGATAGTATACAAGTTCCCATTCTGAGCATTTTCCTCCCTTTGTTTTAAAGAAAGGAGCAAGGGATAGAGTTTTCGGGAAAGTAACTCTACTACACAGTTGATAACTACTTCTGTGTTGTTTTCATTATTTCATTGATTACAGACTCTACGGGTAAGCAGTGGCCATCAGCCCTTAGCACAATGGCTCCAACCAGTTCCTTTAATCATAGAACTATTTTCAGTTTCTGAGCTTATGACGTTGGAATGAGGTGTGCATTATTTCAATTTGAAGATCTGTGGGAAGCCATTCTCGCATGTGATTTGAGTTATCTCCCTGACTGGGTGAGAGGCGCTCAGACACAGTTTTGTCAGAGCCTTCCTCGCCCTGTTCCAGGTGCGAGGGCTTGTCCATGTGGAGGTGTCCCTGACCACTGACCTGAAGACCAATCACTGACCCTGACCTTGGAATGCTGCCCACCTCGAACTTCATTGGATGGAATTTTCCCTTGAATTTATTGTTCCCCAATAAAAGCTCACTCCCTGGCATGTTCTCTCTGTCACTGGCCTATTGTGTTAATCTTGCCACCGAATTAGGTGGCTGGAGGCAAGAGCCCCATGCTGGAGGCGGGAGCTAGGAGGAGCCATCTCTGGAGCTGGGCATTGAAGGTAATGAGAATTATGTCTCTTTAATTTTAAAACTCACTAGTTAATTTTTATGCTTTGAACCTCTATTATGAAGCTCATGTGCTGGTTGCATGGCAGAAAGATCCCATTCCAGTTCTTCCCTGGCTGGAGATACAGATTATTCCCACAAGGTAAATGTGAAAATTCTTTTGTGGTCACTACTGGGCTTTGCCATGAAAAGAAAAACATCCATCTTCCAGTGAGTGACTTATCCATTTTTTTTTTTTATCTCAACACTAGTGATGGAGTTTGATGAGTTTGGAGCTCCATGAAGGTGTTGGCATCTGGGTTCTTCTTTTGATTTCTGATAAGGTTTTCCATTATATCAGTATTCATATACAACCTTCATTTATGCAAAAATGAATTCATGAGTGAAGGGACAGATGGTAAGTAATCAAAGATAGACATCTCTATTGGTTACTTGTTAAAGAGAGGCGAAGTCTTCATCATCAGGATGAATGTGATACAAAATGCTTATACATTTTCTGGAAAAATGACTTAAAAATAAAAACTACATGTCCAAAGTTGAATAGGCAGGGACTCAGCTTCACGTGTTTATTCACGGTCTCTGTCTGACAGTCATGATCTTCTTGTTGCTGCTAACATTCTACATCCTCTGACTACATGGTGAAGAATCTATGGGGAAAAAGGTGCACTCATACCTTGCTGGGTGGGACTGCAAATTGGTGCAGCCAATATGGAAAGTAGTATGGAGATTCCTTGGAAAACTGGGAATGAAACCACTATTTGACCAAGCTATCCCACTCTTGGGTTTATACCCCAAAGACTTAAAAACAGCATACTATAGGGACACAGCCACATCAATGTTCATAGCAGCACAATTCATAATAGCTAAATTATGGAACCAACCTAGATACCCTTCAGTAGATGAAAGGATTAAAAAAATGTGGCATATATACACAATGGTATTTTACTCAGCAATAAAAGAGAATAAAATCATGGCATTTGCAGGTAAATGGATGGCTGTGGAGAAGATAATGCTAAGTGAAGTTAGCCAATCCCCAAAAGACAAAATGCCTGATATTTTCTTTGATATAAGGAGGCTGATTCATAGTGGGATAGGGAGAGGGAGAATGGAAGGAATAGACGAATTCTAGATAGGGCAGAGGGGTGGGAGGAAAAGGGAAGGTGCTGGATGTTAGCAAGGATAGTGGATTTTGATGGATATTATTATCCAGAGTTCATATATGAAGACACTAATTGATATGAACATACTTTATATACAACCAGAGATATGAAAAATTGTGCTGTATATGTGTAATAAGAATTGTAATGCATTCCACTGTCATTTATTATTAAATTTTTTTTAAAAAACATACTGACATTAAATTTGCAAGTTCTTAATATCTAAAATACTACAAAATAAAATACATGTTTAAAATTTCAAGCCTATTATCATTGTGAAAATTTATGTGTATGCTGTAAATAGAAAGAACAAAGCAAGGAAAAAAATCCTACTATTAAAATACCACTTAAGAAATTTCATGTTTTCCTAAAATAAAAGCTTAAAATATAATCTACAGATCATGATTTTTATCACCAGAGTAAATTAAACAACCTAATTTATTTTATAAGCAGTAAATTTTATATCTTCTTTACATAATAAATATATTTGAGTTGACTCTTTTTCTATCTTATTGTGCAAACTCATAGGCATACATATTCAAGTGTACAGATATTATTTCCAGCAGGATTTAAAATTTCTATTATTGGGCAAACTAATATGTAAATGGACTTTGATGTTTATGTGTTATTCAAATAACTAGAAGTTAAAATTGCAGAAATAGTCACAACACTTTGTGACTTTATACATGTACTTTGGATAATGATGTCCAGAATTGCTGTGAATATACTTTGTATATAACTAGAGATATGAAAAATTTGTGCTCTATATGTGTACTATGAATTGTAATGCATTCTGGTGTCATATATAAATAAAAATTAATTATAAAATAAAAAATAAGAAGTACAAGCTCTAAAATAAAAGATAAGTAATGGTTGAAATAGAAAATAATCTCATGTCTACACATGGAGTGAAACACATCATTTCAACTCACAGGTCATTGACAAAAATTATCCATATGACCCTAACAATTTGCAAGAGCTCAGGGAAGTAAAATTTCCCTTTATTCCTGAAGAAAAAAAAAAGATATAAATTGACTGTAGAAGTGAAACAGATCATTATAATATCATAGGTTATATGCTGCATTTAACAAACCTGGATCCACTCTTTAATATTAACTTTTACATGCTATTTAAGTTGTAAGTGAATTTTCTTATTTCCATAAGTCTCCTTTCCTATCTTAAAATAATAATAATGATTTCATATATTTCTTATGAGGATTACATAAAATAATAAAATATATGAGAACCTAACACACATAAACTTTTCTGTAAATATCAGTGGTTATTTTTTCATATTGTATATAACACAACCTAGACTTTCAAGGTGTAAAGCAGTAACTACCTCTAGATATATATTATATTTACTTGGAAAGATAAAGATTAATAATGCTTAGTCCACACCCTAAGATTCTGATAGAGATGAGGCTGAAGTATTGGTATTTTAAAACTTTATTTTAAAACTGGTATTTTAAAACCAGTTTATTTCAGCATGAAAGCCGCATTGAATATCTCTGTTGTAAGATGAAAAATAAGAAAGACAGATTGATGTGGGATTTATTTAGCTGTCTTTCCAGAGTTTTATCACCTTTTAAAATATATAATTCAGTAATCTACTACATTGTCTGGAGACAGAAAAATCATGTATATATAGTGAAATATGTTGCTATTGTATTTTAACAAATCAAGGTTATTCCTCTAACAAGAAATATGAGAAAGTAGATGCTACACAAATAATTGTTTTCTTTATTTTTTAATTCTTTTAGTTGTTAACAGAACTTTCTTTTATTTATTTTTATATGTGGTGCTGAGAATAGAACCCAGTACCTCACACCTGCTAGGTAAATACTCTACCATTGAGTCACCACCACAGCCCCCCAAATAATTGTTTCCTTATAGTGGAGTGAAAACAATGATATCCAGAGAAATATAACTTCTCAGTATACAGTAAATAAGTGAAGCAGGAAAATCACCTTGATGTGCCATATCTCTTCAAATTAAAACAGAAGATGTGGATTATGCTTCAAACATACCCTTCTTTAAAAAGCTTTTCAGAACACTTTATTCACTAATGAGGAAGCATCTTACCACAAGGATGCAGTGACTGACACAACTGATAAGAGTAGGTATTCCTTGAAATGGTCTAAGAAGCAAAAAATAAATCTTGAATGCTTATTCACAAAAGAAAACTGCTGCTATATATTATTATGAGGAAGTTAGAAAGCATCACTGGCAAAAGTAAAGGTTACCCTTTAATAGCAGTTTGGGAAACCATACTCAGAATTATAATTTTGCACATGGTAATAACATAATTGATGACACTCCTCTCCCTTGGTCCTTATTTTTATACTGTGAAGGACTGTAAAACATGTATCTTTTCCCATAGCTAGCATAGTTATGTTAACCGTTTCCATGAGATCTATGTGACACTTCCAAATTCACTTCAAGTCACCATGAAGACATTGTTGAATGAACAAAGTGATTTAAGTATCAGTGTATTTCCCATGGAATACTAATTTGAGGAGAGGACCTCATGATCTCGGTAACCCATGCAAAATATCACACCATGGATTGTTCTTTTTGTTCATTAGTCAATGGTGTTACAAATTAAACCAACAAATAAAAGGAAAAGTTATTTTATAGAAAGCACCATGTTTGCTATTTTATTACTGTTAAATATTTATTGACTGCAAACATTATTTACCTAATGTTATAACCCATTAATAAATTTATACACATAGAGTATATGAATACGCATCACTTATTCACTTAGAAGTTAAAAATTTTTGACTGCCTGCTATATAAAAAGAACTAACACCAGCCACTGAAGACTGTTTTGCAGCTCCCACTGCTCAGGTCACTAAGTGGGTAGGAAAATAAATACCATTTTCTAAAAACAAACAAACAAACCTAACCTAACCTAGGTCCTCCTGAGTCAAAATATGTTTTTTTTTTTAGGCATTTTGTTTGTGTTTATTTTTTTATGGTGCTGGGGATTGAACCCAGGCCCTTGTGCATGCGAGGCAAGCACTCTGACAACTGAGCTATATCCTCAGTCCCCTTATTTGTGTTATTGTTATATTGTTATTCATTCTTTCGAGTCTTATCTATACTATGGGAGTGATCATTCAGAAGGAAAATACTGTGAAGACATAAAATATGTCTACATAAACTAATTTTATTTTTATAACTGTTAAAATTTGTTATGTGAAGAAGGGCAACAATAGAATTGGGATAATTATTAATTTGCTAGTCAATTTCTAGAATAATGGCATTTTGTTGGTGTTGCCATAATTTAACTGAAGAAATGCTGTATATATTTTGTACAATCAAATTGGAAGTCAGGTGAGTGTTAATATATTAAGGTGATTTAAACATATATTGAGGAATAATTATAGGAAAATAATTATAGATAATAATTTTATGTAGGAGAAAAACAAATAAAGTATTATGAGTATGTAGTGTGTTAATTTTTTTTCCTAACTGCTATTTGTATATTTGGGAGAAAATTGTACACAACTGTCAAAACAAAATTTTCAAACTATAGCATCATGTGTTAAATTCAATTGTTTGGAGCTCTGACACTATGGCCATATTATCTCAAATGCTTAGGCTTATGCCTTGGTACATCAACTGTAACAAAAAAAAATATGTAGTATGTTAAAGGATGCAATATTCATAAAGTGCCTCGCTAATTGTTAATAGCATATGAGGTCATTAAATAACTGCTGATCAAAATACTATCAAACAATTATTATAGAACATTGAAATTATAGCTAACTAATGAGATAGACATGGGGGTCCATCCCTGTATACCTGCAACTCAAGATGCTGAGGCAGGGGAATTGCGAGTTCAACAGCAGCCTGGGGAACATAGTGAGCCCTTGAATCAAAATAGTAATCAGAAAGGACTGGGGATGTAGTTAAGTCATAAAGTTCTTCTGGGTTCAAGACTCAGAACCACAATTTTTTTAAAAAATTAAATTAAATAAAAATGAATAAATGAAAAGAAAAACAATTCTGAAACTTAAAATATATATAACTTCAAGCACTAAAAATAAAAAGTTTATTATCCTGGACCTCCTATAGAGTAAAGGCAAAAAAGTTTAATAAGTCAAGTTTACAAAGAGCAATAATGAACATAATAAAACAGTTGGATATGAGGCAGTGTTATTAAAATCACCATAGCTAATATTAATAGTCAAGTTGTAAAATGACCAACACTAACATTTTAACTTTTTGTATATTTTATGATAAATTTGATATTACAAAAGTTTCAAAACAATCTTTTCATGTTTTTCCATTTTAAATATGCTATTTTTCTTTAAATGCAAATAAAATTAGAACAGTATTTGCTGAGGATTAGATAAACTGAAAACTAAAAAAAGAACAATTGTGGATAAAATGGCATATGTTAATAGTTTTTTCTTTCCTCAACTTTGTGGAAAATCAATATTCATATCTGAAATAGAAAGAAATTTGTAAGTGGATAC